TGTAGTGATCGGGTAAGACGAAGGAAGACAAGTACAGTGTACACGCGTTCAGTCTAAGATGTAATTTTACTGTAATCTCATTCTTGGATGATCATGTTACATTGGTAGATTATTAAATCACGTGTATCAATGATGTAATCGCTACAGTTGTCGTTTACGGGCAAATGCCGTATTTCAAAAAACTGAAAAACTATCATTTCTCGCTACGAGTTGGGACAAATTCAGTAAGCGCCCCCCCGCCCCCTTCCTCGATTAAACACCTCCCTCATATAAGCGTCCTCCTTCTCCTAAATTTGAAATAGGCGCCAATTCGAGGATTTAGGGTACTGAAGGTGTTGCTAAGTTACTAAAAATGGAATACTACCGTCAGCTGGGAAGAGCTGCAAGCAGGAATGGTGATTTGGTCTCTGACAAGGCGCAAAGCTGCCAGGATCGTAGTCAGAGTAACTGTGTTCTAATCCTAATTTGATCCAGGACTGTGAGTGTTTTAGGATTTCTCTTCCATATCGATTTCTTGCGAACAAACCAGGACTAAACGCCGTATCAATCCAGTTACCCCGAATGTTTGCTTTGGTGAACGTTGCATGTTTTTGTAGTTCCGCGGGGAGATACTGAGTGTTTGTCACAGCAGGTCTCCCCCAGACTTCAATGTAAAATTTATTGAAGCTTATCTTCACATACCCGCGTTCACCGTCATCTTGTATTCCATACTCGCTTAGCTCGTAACCATTTTTCCGAAAATGGTCGACCGTTTCTCTCTTGCTAAAGATTGCAAAGTCGGACAATAAAACCTTTATGTCTCCATCCAAGTCCCAAGGAAGAAGTCCATTGAACTTAACACCACCCAATAAGGAACCAGCATCAAGCTCAAATGTAACATTATGCGTATCGGCAAACTTCTGAACAAACCACAGTGCATCTGCATACTCCTCCTGACAACAGACTGGCAGCAAAGCGCTTTTAGCATTGCATTCGAAACCAATGTCCTGACAGGAAAAGGAATGCTTCACCCCCTGGGGCAGTAACACCCGATTAAGCTCCCACTTCTTAGCCAAAGGTTTCCACACATTTTTATCAGTTCTTCTGGAATTAAAGTTGTAATCAGTAGTGAAATACATAGCGTCTGGACATGACATTGTCATGTGTCGAGCTTCAACAACACGTAAAAACCAGTCTTCAAAAATGACCTCATTTGGAAGACTCTCGTCAAACTTCAACAGCCTTGTTTTGGCAACGAAAGGACCCTGCAGATAATCACAGAACATGCACTCGTTTCTTGAGTGATAATAGCCTTCCTGGTATTCCAGGACGTAATTTTTCATTGTAGTTTGCACACAGCCCGCTTTCCAGTGACCTGAAAAGTTACGGTAAGATCCACCTGCAACTCCAACATTTGGTATCTGAGTGGCCACACGTATTTGCCTCTCAAGTTGGGTAAGCCAGGTGAAGTGAAAAACATCTCTCGCAACGAGAACGTAAGGAGTAGATACCTTTCTTATCAACATGTTCCATCCTTTGCCTAGGTTTGCATTATAGACCTTAAAGGCATCAACATTATACCTTTTGGCAGCCTCTATCACTTGGTCACTCCGTGTTGCCAAATACACCTGAATTGTAGGGTAGGTCTCTGTTATCCCTTTTAAAACCTTTTCAATGTTGTTCTCGTCTTTGCTAGGATATGCTACAGTATTAACTGAAATACTTATCACAGAACTGATTGGTTTGGCGTTAGTACAGTTGGTAATGTCCCAGCCCGTGGTATAAAATTGGAACCCAGCAAGTGTTCCTTTGAACTCCTCTGGACACACGTCCACGCCTCCATTTTTGCCGAGTGTCCCGCTGGTTATGTTCGCTGGTTGCAGTCTACTGTCCAAGCGATTTACTATTTCTTCTAATTTCTGAACCAGTCTTGCTGATGGTACCTTCTTATGAATGTGTAACTTTTGCATTTCTAGGTATATTTCTTTTAGTTCTTTTGTAAGGCCTCTTTTCAAGGGCTTGAAGGGGTCATATCTGTAAAGAGAATATTCGAGCTTAGATTCCTTTACTGATCTTTGTGGCTGCAGTTTACACTTAATTTCTGTTATTACATGCCACATCTCATTCATGAATGCTCTTAAAACTTGTAGATTTTTTTTCAACTGCACTTAAGAGGCTTAACTGCCGAAGATTCAGTTGAGTCCCCTCACAACATATTTGCCAAAACTGCTCGGGAGTTTCAGGGTAACCATGACTCACTTGCGCACTTCGCATGCATTGATTTCAAATTCGCGTTGTCACAAACTACTTAGCTTGTTTCACGGGCATCAAGAGCGAATACATATACCGGTCAGGGATCTCGGCATCTGTCGGTCGAGTATCGCTCGATACTATCAGTCGACATGATGTCGACCGCGTGTCGGCCGATACTCGGTATATGGCACCGATGGTGTCGGTCGACACTCTCCCGGCCGACAGATGCCTTAAGTACACAAGATGCCCGGTCTCTACTCTTTTTTTTTTTTCTCTTTTTTTTTCCTCAGAAACCCAGGAAAGGGGACTTTCAGGTGTTTTAAAAAATCCAAAACATTTCCTGGGGGTCAGGATCAGTCTAGAAGTCTAGAGGTTTGTGCCCTCGGCGCTCGCTGCTTCGGACCGATTTGGAAATCAGTCACCATTTATCCTTGCTCTGCACCTGGGCATTATAAAGAACTGATCTGGTCAGCAATTTCCTTCAGTTTCTAGAGCTAATCCTCGAAAGGCAATTCCTGTGTTGTCTGAATTATTTCCACACACATACCTGTTAAATTCTATCCGTGGGAAGTACAGATAGAACAACACTGACTGTATGAGTACAAGACAGGTGAAGGAGCAAAAAACAGCTCTCCAAGATGGGCCTGACGCCATTGACTTACGAAGCAAAGACTTTGAAATCTGTGGATGTTGTGTCACATCGGTTTTCTGTTGAAAATAAATATTTTTTGATATTTTGGCGAACCCTCAGTCCGCAGGGCGAATTAACCAAAGCAGTAATTTATACACTCAACTGTGTAAAAGATATATCTTTTTCTTTCCCAAAAGAAACCAAACCATTTTGATGAAAAACGTTCAGTTGAACAGAAGTTTACTTTTGTAATGGGCTTTCACAAAGGTAAACCTTCCAGATAAGTTCTGGCTTAAATCGGCCTTGAGATAATTTATGGAAAAAGGTGGAGTCTCAGCTGCTGTTTGTACATGGACTATTGCATAAATAACGCCGATACTTATACATCCTAAGCCTCGCATGCATGTAAAAAAATCCTTTGTCTTGAAACGTGAGTACGAGGCTAGGGATGAACAAAGTTTTGTTACGCAAAGTTAGGCGCTTTTTGTGCCAAGGGTTTGTCGGCAACCCAAGTCATATTGCGCATGAACTTATGGAGAATTCAATCTTGTAATTTTTTCTCTTATGTTAACCGGATCTTTACTTGTATTCTTTGTGGAGAACGGATCAGTTCTGAGCTCTTGTTTCGGCTGGACACTTAGTAGTCCTGCTGTTAAGAGCCAAAAATAACCAGAATTGTTCATTTTGTGATAAAAGCATGAAACTTCCCAGGATGACTAACCTCTATAAGGTAAACATTTTCTGATATGGAGCCATCCCAAATTTCCACTTAGAAGCACGCTACGCGCATGTCAAAAAATGACATATCAGGCCCCTACATGGGAGCGAGGCTGAGTTGAAATGTTTATTTCTAGGCCTTTTCCGGAGTACTTTGCCTA